GATGAAGGTCATCCGGGCCCGCTGACTTGGACACATCTAAGTCCTCCCAGGTAATCCTTAACTAGGTCTGAACTAACAGCTGGGGGACTCGCGTCCTTCCTGGGCCTCTCTACGCTATCACCCGAGAGCACCCCATTGTCAGCAGACAGGAGCACGGAGGCAAAGAACTTGTTAAAGAGTTCTGCCTTCGCTCGCATGTCCATCACCACTGCCCTGCCCTGTAGGGGTCCAATGTTACCCTGACACTTCTTCTTGCTACCTATATACCTGAAAAAGGACTTTTTGTTATCCTTAATCCCAGAAGCTAATCTAAGCTCCAGTGCTGCTTTATTATCTAAACGGTTTATCTGGAATGGAGGATTGTGTTTAAGTTACTGCTGCTCCGAGGCCCCCAAGGCTTTGTGGATGAATAAGCTGTTTCTAAAGCGGAGTGGTCTGGGAGAGCATTAACCACTAGCAGCTTTGATTCTGGCGGTGAGGCTGAGAAAAAGACCACAGTCCAGGAGTAACAGATGAATGCAGAGCAAATGAAAGGAGGTGAGGATAGATGTTGGGTGGTTATCTGTGTAAACTAAGCCTCTGTACATAATGCAGTTAATCATCTCATTAAATCTCCACCAGCACCAAATTATGCAAATAACCCTTTGTAACCATGTCTAATAATAATGCAGTCTTTATGTGGCCTCAAAGCACAGATCCTAGCAAGACTTTCCACCCCTCCCACACTCCAGGTTCATATATGTAGCCTGAAGTGTGGCCTTGAGACTGGATAAAGACAGTGTTTTCCTACTTCATTTATATTACTGACCTTTCTAGGTCCAGTCTAAAGTCCATTGGAAGTCTTTCCTTTGATTTCACTGGGCTTGGGATCAAGCCCTAAAAAAGGAAGATATTTGGCTGATGTTGACTATAATGGGCGTCCTCTGAATGTAGATATGATGGATGTGTCCACACTGCCTCAGCCTGGCCTGGGGGAGCACTGCAGTGAGATGTACCATGCTTTCTCCTCATCGATGGTCTCCTGAACCAGAAGTAGTATAGCTGATTTAGTGCAGTTCTGGGTATGCACCAGTGAGTGCATCCAGACGTCCACCAGTGCACTTCTGGGTATGCACCAGTGGGCGCATCCAGATTTTCCCCAGGGAAAAACAGTTGCGGCACAATATTGTGCACAATATGCGCACAGGGGGAGTAGGGAAGGCTGGGACCGGCACCTGGGCTGGCCCCAGCAGCCTAACCTGGGGTCCTGGGGCCTTTTAGGGTTCCAGCGGCGGTGATCTGGTGCAGATCCTGGCCAGCAGCCAGAGTATGTTTTTGATCAGCCAGGCTCAAGTTTCGGGTGGCACATACTGCCACCACGTGCTCCACCCTGCCTTTTTCAGGCTGGGTTTTTTGACAGCAGGATCTCCCAGTGTCAACCCGCCCACCCCCTTGGGCAGCGGGGGGAATGCCTGCATGTGTGAGACGTGCAGTGTGCGGTGCCACGTATGGGTCTGCGATGCTTCCTGCCACAAGTATGCACTCGTCTGGACCTGCCCAGTAAGTCCTGCCTCTCAGGAGAGTTTGTCAGCTAGTACGTACATAAGTATTTGTGGGTAACCATTTACATAAGGAGCCCCCACTTCAGACCCTCGCACACAATTACAAGGCACAAGACCAGAAACTCCCTCCAGCCAGCCGGAGGTAGAAACAGGGGAGACAAGGGCACAGCTAAAGTTCAGCTTCTCCAGCGATGTGCAGATGGGAGGTTTGTAGATGATTAGATGATCCTAGGAAGTGGGTTGTGGTTCATGGTACCAAGGAAGGCAAAAACCTGCACAGTCCTTTACCAGTCTGACGTCGGGGCAAAATGCCTTCCTGAGCCCAAATCTGATGGTGATTATGGCCCTGAGTGAAAGAGTAAGACCCTCCAGCAGGAACCTCTGAGTTTCCTAAGCTCTGCATGAATATGGGCACGTTACTTCCAGGCAGGGGTTACTGCCTGTGAAGCAGGCTTGATATGGTACCACGTGTCTCACTTCAGTGCCCAACAGCGCTATACTTGGGCAGTGCTGACATGCCCTATGGACCTCAGAAGCCAACGTGCACCGACTGCAGGGTGGTGACAGCCCTCACTTCCTGCTGATTTTAATGGGAGTGGAGGATGTTCACCACTTTACAGGGGATCTCAGCACCTTATGGGATCCACTCCCTGCCTCTGCCATAAGCTTGAATAGTTCTTGATGCTGGAATTTGATGCCTCTGCCCACCAAATCCGATGTAGCATCCCAGTGCACTGAAGGGCTGTCATTGCCCACCTTGACAGATTTTTCCTTTACAGAATATCACCCAGGGATCTCCCTCAGATGCATGACTTAAATGTAACTAGCTCATTAAGAGCTTTCATTCACACTCACAAAAGGCCCATTGATAAAAGATAGTTTCACAACTTAAAGATCCAACAGCCCACACTGGGTGCATGCACCCATATGTACACCACGACCAGATGAGTGTGGGCAAATCAGGGGCTTGGAAGTGTGCAAATGGCAGGTTGGGTACCAGGATCTGCATACGTGTTTACTACTAAAATTGGCCAATGAATATTGCATAGTTTCTGGGTGACTTGTAATTC